GGGTGTGGGGGTTGTAGTGAGTGGTGTGTGGTGTGTGCGGGGGTGTGAAGTGGGTGGTTGTGTGGGGTGGAGGTGGAGTGTCGTGTGTGAGATTGGTCGGTCGGGGGGGGGTGTGGTGGTGTGGGGGGGGGTTGTTTGGGGTGGGGTGGGGGGGTGTGGGGGGGGGGCCAGTGGGGGGGGGGGGGTGGGGGGGGGGGGGGGGGGGGGGGGGGGGGGGGGGGGGGGGGGGGGGGGGGGGGAGTGGGGGGAGTGGTGCGAGGAGGTGTGGGGAGTGTGAGGGGGTGAAGAGGGGGGGCCGAGTGGGGAAGGGTCAGAGTATCGTGAGAGTGTTGTGGCGGAGGGAGCACTGGGGGTGTGAGGGAGGGGGGCGCGTGTGGAGGAGAGGAGTGTTGGGTTGGTGGGCAGTTGACCCTACCCTTTTTGTGTGAGTGTGGTGAGTTTGGAGGGGAGGCCACTGAAGAGGGGTGTAGGTGTTGGCCGGGTGGGGAGGGGGGTGCGGGAAGGGGAGTGATGAGTGTGGGTGGGGGATTGGACGTGGGGTGAGCGCTGCAAGGAGTGGGGGGGGGGGGGGGGGGGCGGGGAGGGGGTGGTGGGGGGGGGGGGGGGGGGGGAGACGGGAACGGGGGGGGGGGGCGGCGGGGGGCGGCGGGGGGGGGCCGGGGCGGGGTGGGGCGGCGGCGCGGCGGGAGGCACAGCATCCCCCGGGTGCAACTACACGCCGTTAACATGGATTTGTGATTACGAATTCAACAAAGACTGAACTGCTTTTGCTATTATAAGGCCCCTTCACGCCCCTCCCCCACACACCCTACGCTCGGCGTCTCGAGGCAGTGATGGCGCGTGAGTGGGGGCAACGGGTGGTATGATGCGGCGGGAGCGGGAGGAGTTGGGACGGCTTGAACGGTTGTCGCGACCAGACAGTCGAGGGGGCGGGTGCTGGAAGGTAGTGAGTAGAGGGGGGCCGGGGGGGGGGGATAGCAGAGTGATGGGGTGAGGAGCGGGTAAGAGTAGGTGAGTCGCGGGACGTGGAGGTCGGGTGAATAAAAACAAAAAAAAAATAAAAAAAAAAAAAAAAAAACAGCCAACTTCAATATCCTGTATACATCAGGGCGGCCTAGAATTACGTTTTAAAACTTTACAGGCCAGCGGAGCTCCGATAGTGTACGGGCTATCTACACGGCACGCAGTCAATTCACAAAGCCCGTATCATTGCGAACTCAGGATATTGATTTTTGCCCATAGGCTGGGGGATGGATTTGTTACGGGTCACTGTCGGCTTGCTAGAATGTTAGCAAATGTCAGGCCAAGCCTCGTAACAATAACGCGCATCGACCCGCGGGCCTGCTAGATTTTATTAGTTCTCGACATGCTAACTAATAAAATAGAAAACTGTATTATTATTGCTACTGAATATCGTTACTCACCTTATGAGTAGATGATAGGACGGAAAGCGATGAGGATGGAGGCGGTGTGTTTTAGCATCGAAGGTCATCCGATGTCAGGTCTCTGCAGGATCCAGTGCTCGCCCTGCTGGCTGGATTCAGCGTCAGAGTCCGGTTAGGCGCACGCGGCACGAAGACGACCGAGTCCCTAACCTAATGCGGACTCGGAGAACCGACGCTGGCTTCCGCGTCCCAAACGGCATGGCACACTCGTCAGACGTGCAAAGCGCGCTTTACTACTACACTATAATACCCTGGCCTATTATACATTCAATACATCTACTAATCACTATCAAGATTAAGTAATGTGATTTACCTAACGCGGTTACGTACTGTATTAATCTGACTACAGCAGAACGTTGGCACATATTTAGAGGCAGAAAATCCATTTTGCATACGTTTTTCAGGCCAACGGTCATTAGGGTTGAATTCCACTTAATCATGATGTCATTAATGATGACATGACTTATGATTTTGATAGCATGCTAACCCGTAACCTAAATTGACACTACAATGAAACCACTAACCCTATACCTATATATAAGATATTATATAATGTTAATTATTATGACCATTATATAACAGTTAGAAGGTTGGACACTTTTAGGATGAAAAGTTAGTCACCGGGTTTCATTGCATGGGATGAGGGTTGGCGAGGGGGGGGGTGGTTGGGTCGGTGGGGGTTCATGTATATTGTGGCACAGCACGGTTACCTTCGGCACACTTTGCGCGTTACCTCTATCTACTATCCATTCATAATCGGGTGGCATTCTCAATGGTCATGTAGTAGTCAGCGTACATTTAGCCTTTTTCACGTATCGAATGAACCTTCAAGTACATTTATGTTGAGTTTGATGAAATCATCTA